ACCTTATTTTGTCTGATAGTCTTCGAGGGAACTGTAAATAATGTAGAGGTTAATGTATTTAAAAATGTCAGACATGACTACCAGCTCTTTATCCACAGAAACAGAATTAAAGTTAGTAAACAGCAGTTGTTCTGCAATATGGAAAGGCTATTGCTATTTTACTTGCACTGGGGAGGTGTTTTCTTTCCAATCCATTGTATGCATTTGAGCTGTCAAGTTGTTTGGCATTTTTAAACAATACTGTTCTACATGTTTTCCTTTATGGTTTTTTGAAGTATTCATGCATTTAAAGACTCATGACCCTTAACAGCAAAGGATACAAATTCCCTTATTCCCCTCTTTTAGAAGAACTCCAAACTTCATCTCCCTCTGCTATTATTCTCCATTTTCTACATGGTGCCTTTTAAATAGTAGATTTTTAAAAAAGAACACCTAGAAGTATTGGTATTACGAACACATAGATTCACTTTTACTCTATTGCAATAACTTGTCCACGAAGTGCTCTTGGCACATCCTACCTCTGCTTAGGATATACCATTTATTCATAGGGGTTAGCTTTAATCTTTCCTGTTTTTGTACAGCCTTGTCCTTCTGTACAGCAAACTGCAAGTGGCAGAATTACAGGTAATGGTACTCCATCCTCTTCCAAAGGTCTGCCTGCCTGGTGAGCATCCTCTGCTGGGAGGGAACAAGTTCACATTCAAAACAGCTACCAAAAGAGGGACCAAAAATACACTTCCCGCTGTGCAGTTTATTTAATTTATCTCATTTGAGCTCTTCTGGCAAAGACAGCAATAAGCAAGGATGTATTACTTAACACAGCACAAATAGTGTATGTACTAGCAAAATATTATGCCTTGGAGATCATAGAAGGTAGCAACCTATGAAATGCCCTTAGGTCTTCCTTCAACTGATAACTGGAAGGAAAAAAACAGTGCTTAATTCAAGTTACAAGTGCAGAGATTTATCTTCATGGGAAGACAAACACCATGTAAATATGTTTTGATGTCTTGTACTTTATTAAAAAAATAGGATTGATACAGGGTGATAGTCACCCTGCTTAATCTGGATTCTACTCAGGCTGCTATTTTCTACTGGAAGATACCCTTTAGCACCACCTCCCATTAACAGTGAAACACTAGACGCAACACTAGATGCAATTTGCATGTCCAAGTTACAAAGGATGAATCTAGGCCAGATGCAGAGTGTGCATTTAAAAAGGAATTACTTGGATTGTATCTTTGGGAATTTCCACCTAGAAGGTTACAGATCTAAGTGAAGACAGTTGGGTAATCAAGCAAATGAGCCGTCTGGGTCTAAAGATCTGAGGATATGGAGAAATAAATAATTTTTTAAAAAAATTTTAAAAAGAGGGAGCTTGATTTTGTTTCTCTATGACACCAGGCATAAGATCACAATCACTTTATGGTCAAATTTATTGAAATTATTTCTAAGTACACATATCAATTCACACTATTCATAACTACCATCCTCATTATGTGATATACATCAAACAAACAGAAGGTAGCTCCATTTGCTAAAGTAATAAAATGGAACAGTTGTGTGAGCACAGAGTATAAAATCAGAATGCAAATTAAGGCAAGCGTGAAAAAAGCACTAGGCTTAGTAGTCTTTTACTAGACAAACAGATTTTGCTGTCAAGTTTCAGAGGAAAACTTTTAACAAACATATTGTGAAAGAGAAAAACAAAATTAACTATGGTAAACAAAGTCTTCCTTCAAGGCACTGTTAACTTTTGATGTCAATCTGAAAATAATTCAGCAAGTCAGTTGATAGAAATATTGTAAGAAATAAAAAAACCCAAAATCTCTGATTAAATATAAAGCTGAATGCAAAACCAAAGCAGACAAAGTTTCTGGAAGGAAGTAATTTTGGGTATGACAGAACAAACATTATACACCTACACAAATTAACTCAATTGCCAACAGCAAATTCTGACAAATCAAGATCTTCCGTTAGAACCTGTAAAGTTTGGAACTTGGTGGATTATTTTTTCACAAAGAATTATGTATGCACATTCTAGCATAATGAAGTTAACAAGACTACAAAACTGTTAAACTAGCAGAGAAGTATTTTCTAAGAAAGGAACTTCTAGTTCTCTTATGAGACATCTCATTTAGCTTTGTGCTTTCATCTGTCCAAGTGTTCAGCAATGGCAGACCGTTTTCAGCTGTACAAAACTTCCTACACAGTCTGAGGGGTACAACTGAAAACATGTTTTGTCCTACAAAAAAAAAAAAAAAAAGCATGTTTTCTCTTGCATTCAGTCTTCCCTGTACATGACTAATTTTAAGTCACCCCTGCTTCTGCTGTCTGTCCCTCAGGATCCCTACAGAACACTGAAATGCAGCTCCTTCCCATGTCCCTAAAACATTCTCATCTCGTTGCTCCCTCACTATCTGCACCTTGCTGTTTCAGACAACACATGCTGGGTAGCTCAACACTTAGGGTGTCACACAACTCAAAAACCTCCGCTGCCCTTAAGGTACCAATCAGTTTCCTTTCAATTCTCATTGCTCAGCAGTCAACTGTTCAAAGGTTCTGAGGCACAATTTAAAGGCAGAATATAAACCTCACATTTTCTGGATGAAAAAAAAAGAGTTAGAGGCACATGGATGCTGATTCTAGCAGCAACATCAGTACAGATGAGTTGTCACTCTCTTCCCCAGGATTACATGAGTTGAAGGACCCACAGCTACCAATTTTGCTGAACAACTGCAGGGTAATGCTTAGGTCTCCATGCTAAAGAAACATTAATGCAGTTCTGTTTGAACCCCCATCTTCACTAGGAATTTGGTCTCACAGCTGCTTGTGTCTACTTTGGACCTAAGGGCAGGAAGAATCTGCAGCTTGAAGTTTCAGGAAACAGCCCTCCAGGATTCTTTTGCATATTTCAACCTTTTCCGCTATGAAACTGGTAAGGTTTTTGCTGGTCTAAAATCCAGTAAAATATCCCCTCTTGCAAGAAAAGGTTTTAATCTGGGAAGACAAAATTTGCCAAACAGTTATAGTTAAGATCCGGTCTACCAATGTTAAGTCTGTTGTTAATGTTTTGTTATTAAAACTATAATTTTGTGGATCATTACACTTAGCTCCAACTGGTGTTTGAAAGAAATTTCACAATTGTTTTTGGATCTTATTTGGAATCATTTGGTATCTCCTGGCTTGAATGAAATGAAAAATAATAAATCACTGGCTAGAGTTTTAAGGTTTTTTAAAGTTACAAAGTTTTGTTCTATTCAATGCTAAGATCATAAAGCAACTACAGTGGGAATGTTTTGAACATAAACAACACATACTTCTCAAAAGATAAACTTCAAGATTTCCAGAGCTGCTTGTGGTACTTAGAGCAAGAAAAGCGGAGTTTATGCCTTTGAAGTTGACCATTAATTATGCCAATTACTTAGTATTTACCATTTAATATTATTTGTTCTTACCCTCCACAGGGCAGCCCAAAAGGGCTTTAAACCTAGGAGAATATGCATAGAATAAAACCTCTTATAATCACGAAAAACTACTAATCAACCTAAAAATAAACACCAAACCCCTCAGAAAAAGTAAGCAGAACATGCTACAGGCACGTCAATGCAAAACTATGGCTTTAGCCAGTCTGACCAAGCTTATATAGTCCTTAAAGATCTAAGATGTGCTGCTTCTAAAATCCACACTTAATCCAGGTTTTCCCTGCTAAGCCACAAAAACTATCCATCTGTATAACTTGCCTATGTTAGCCAAGACTTTACAGTCCAACGGCAAGATCAGGTAGGAATGCTATAGGAAGGCAGAAAGATTGTTAATATTTCTGATTAACTGGCAGGTTTTTTTCCAGATAGCATCTGGCCTCATTTCCATTGCAAAATATATGAATGCTGCTTTATTCAGAATGTAATTCTTGATCTCTAAGTAAGACTACCTTTTTTACTATTTAACTACCTACAGTAAACAAATTACTACAAACTCTAAAATGTGCCAAATAATTTACAAATTATGTTTACAGAAGTAATAATTTTAAAACTGTCCACATTTACTTGATACAATAAAAACATCAATTATATCAATGAGAAATTAATATAAAAAACTGTAGATGCATTCTGGTTTTAATAGTGCATAGAAACTCCGAGACAAAATACAATAAACACAGTATCTAAGCAAAGGGGAATCTTTATCAGTGTCCACTCCTTACAGTCAATCACCCATTGCTTTAATACTTCTCATTGTGTCTTATTTGGATCTTAACTTGTAATTCTTCAAACTGGAAAATGAATTATGAAAAACAAAAAAGCTTGTCAGACTGGGTTTTATCTCCTATTTCCAACAAAACAGCCAAAGCTAGGATTTCTGATATTTTTCAAACCCATAATGACAATAAAATAGGAAAAAAAAATCAAGAAAGGGAATTCAAATTGTCTTATCCATTTTTTTCTACCTTTATGTTCAAAGAAAAATGACCAGTACAAAGATGTTCAGTGTATTTTTTTTCTTCTTTCACTTTCTCATGGAGTCTGCAAATGCTGCCTTTTTCCTTACATTTTTATGGAGAAAAGATCATTTTCTGAAGACTTTACTTCCTCTCAAAATGGAAGCTTTAATTATTTCAAGCAAAGGCAACTGATACAACCGTTTTCTTATTAGCTAAACATTTTCAATTGCTGAATGCATAATGGTAACTGAACAGTATTATGACAACTCACTCTTCTAAAACAATACTGTAAATCATTAACAGCAGTGTTAATTTTTTTGTGTAAGAGTAGTAGTAGTATTCATGCTGCTTCATCGTATTATCCTGAAAATTTTAGCTGCTCGACCCACTCTGTGCTTTGCAAGGAGTTTAAGAAACAGCTTGCTGAAAAAAGCAGCAGTACCAACTAGACAGTATGTATGATCAGAAACATATATAGGGGTATACCTGAAAATTCAGCACTCCATATCAATTATAATAACCAAACTTGTTTTGCAGCCGCAGAGAGCGCAGCAATTTTTTCAAGCATAAGGAATTATTGCAGTTTTAGTCTGAGAAGGTACTGTATCCCCAATACGTCATGAACTCTGAAATATCTGAGCTGTACGGCATCTAAATGTTTAGCCTACTAAGAACTACAATATAGCAGAACTGAGAATGAAGCTAAGACAAGTTGGAATGAAGACATTTTACTACTCAAGAGCAAATCACAACTCTCTCAATGTTTCACTGAAGCCCTGATAAAGATTCCCCTTTCACCACTTCTTTGGTAAAAACAGCTGCATCACATTTGCTTCAACAGCGAGTAAAAGGCATTTTCTCTGGTGTAAATACTTTTTTCATTGTATATATCCAGTTTTATAACACTCAGATAATATGCCTACTTTATATTGACCATTTTTTCAGTGAATACAATGCTAGTTCCAATTTGGGAGGTAAAAATCAAACATATAATCATAAACCAACAGCAAGCCTAATCACATAAGAAAAACCCTGCTATCACTAAAATGTTATAGATAAACTTCTAAATACAATATATCATATTTCATCGGTGTAAAAGGAGTAGTTTCAGAGCTATTTTAAAAGCATCTTATTTCTCAAATGTAGAGAATTTTACTTCAAAACACAGTGAAGTTTAAGTAGCTGCATACATCTTCTGAAGCTTTGTGATAATTTTCACTTCTGTTGGCTTAAATCTCCTGCAATAAAAAAGAATAAACACATTTCATTATAACACAAATTCTGTTATTTCACTGCTTAGTATTTTCCCATATTTATTTAAAAATAAACCTCATTCTAATCAATATATCAAATTTTTAATGATCCAATTTGCAAATCAAATCATAAAATCCTTTAGGTTAGAAAAGACCTCTAAGACCACCAAATCCAACCATTAACTTAGCACCACCATACTTAGCAGAAAACCGTAACCCTAAGTACCACATCCATACACCTTCTGAGCATGCCCAGGGTTGAGGATTCCATCATTTCCCTGAGCAACCTGTTGCAGTGCCTGACCACCCCATCAGTGAATAAATCTTTCCTAATATCCAAACTAAACCTTCCCTGATACAACTTGATATTTCCTTCTGTACCACCACTTGTTACTTGAACAAAGAGACGATCTCCACCTTACTACAACCTATTTTCAGGGAGCTATGGAGAGCAACTGGACTTTATCAGGTTAAGACATTAAAACTTTTGACACTGTGTATGAACACAAAGCAGGTGATTCTCAAAGAAGAATCTTTATTTATTGACTCAGTGCTATGTGTCAAAAGAACTTTGTAAGAATGGAACCTCAAAGTCAACATAAGAGAAACCCTTGCGTGCTGGTTTTGACTGGAATAATTTTTTTCATACCACATGGTATAGGGCTAGGTTTGGATCTGTGCTGGAAACAGCGCTGACAGCACAGTAATGTTTTAGGTATTGCTCTTAAGTGTTTACACTGTCACAAGGCCTTGTCCTCTCCCTTGCCAGCAAGGAGGCTGGGGAAATACAAGGAGTTGGGAAGTGACACAGCCAGACACCTGCCCCAGCTGATCACAGCATTCTCCACCCCATAGGGCATCAAGCTCAGCAGGCAAAGCTGGGGGAAGGAGGAGAAATGGGGAAGGGGACACACATTCAGAGTCACAGCATTTGTTTTCCTGATTAACTCAAGCAGCTATTACACATGTTCAAACATGCTGAAGCCCTTCTTTCCTGGAGACAGCTGAACATCCTCCTGCCCATGAGAGTGAATGAATTTTCCTTTGTTTCTGTATTCAGCTTTTGCTTTCTTCTGTCAAGCTATCTGCATCTCATTCCCTAAGCTCACCCATTTTTACTCATCTGATTCCCTCCCCCATACCACCAGAAAGTAAAAGCAAGTGGCCACATGGGGCTGATGTGCCAGGTGGGGTTAAACCTAAGAGGAACAAAGACCACATAATCTTGGAAAGTATTTGTTCTGGATCATTTTGAGTTGTTACTCTCTTTATGCAGCTCTACCTGACTTGTTTCCTTCTGTTCTTTGGTATGGCAACAATCTTTAGTCAGATAGATGGCTCGTGGTGAGAACGAACCAACAGCAACATGAATGCAAAGTCATTCACACCTCTCATCTACAGATCAGAGGTTGAGGTGCCAGATGCAGAAGAGAAGCAAGTGTGTGTAGGACTGGTCCTCAGCTAAAAGACTACTCTGACAAGCATTTCCAGGTGGTGCAAGTAGAAACAGCCTATAATCAGACTGTGAAGAAGGCAGAAAATCAGGAAATTCATTATATAGCTTTCACAAGACTACAAACTGGGGGAGGCCTGTGAGCCTACCAGGGCCCTGCCCTGGAAGCGTATATCATAGACCCCAGGAATTCCCCTGAAGTTATGGTGACAAGAAAGGACTGATGGGAGCAGTTATGCAATTAAGTTGTTCCATATTAGGCTATGTTATGAACCTTGCCTTCTGATTGGTTAGTCTTGTGTTCCATGTAAGGTATGGTTTCTGTTTCTCTTTATTCATTGGTTCCCTGCCCTCTGTGGCTTGCCTCGTTCTATGGCCCTCTGGAGTAGCTCTCTGCAGTGCGTACAGTTATGTTTTTGTTGTGCATTTATTGTTAGCACGCCTTTTATTTTTCCTTCACTAAACTGATTTTTGAGCACTCCAGTCATACCTGTCCCTGTTTTATTTACTGCCATGCTCACAGCCGATCCCCTCCCAGGACTGTGCCTGCCACCAGCAACAAGGGTACTCACACTCTGGTTCCTTATTCTACAACTAGTCCTTTCAATCACTATCATTGAGCCCAGTCTTCTTTCCCAGACTCCTCTACATCTCTCCAGAACTTCTATATTCCCCATGTGCTATTACGGAGGATCCTTTCTTCATAAACTCACTTGACACCCAAAATACAGCTGGAAAGAGTGGGATTTTGAACACAGCAGTACCTCTTATGCATTTCAGCACCTACCCTGGCATTCATGATCAGGTTAAGCAGATTAACCTGGACCCCATTTTAAAGACTGCATGGGTTAAACAGAACTAGTAAATCACAATGACAATGACAACACAGTTGAGTTAAAATGATTTGGACTTGATTTCTTGTTCAACTGTATCTTACTTTACCTAAACAATTACTTAATTGCTATGCTGCTCCTGCATTAAAAAAAAAAAAAAGATTGGGATGGTAAAGCAGACTTTTTTTGTCCTAGTATTAGGCTGCTCAAGAGAAAGGTCAACTCTAGTCTCTTTCATCTCTTACCTTTAAAGGAACCCTCCTTCTCTGCACAGAACTAATTTTGTCCCTTAGTTACGTTGTCTTCTGATTTACTACAAGAAAAAAAAAGGTAAATTCCAAAACTGAACAGTAAGACAGCACAATCATTCCCAGTCTCCTTCTGGAATAACTGCAACTAGCTATTATGCTGTGCATCACAAGAAAGACTTAAATTAAAAGTTCTCTTGCTAAAAAAAAGTTTGTGATTCACTAGGCTCCCACCTAAATACACTGCTGGATGTGACATTTAATTACAGCCTCATCAACCAAATACAGTTGTATTAGTCATCCCCTGACATAACAGACCAGACATGTTCCTTTGGAGCCACTCTCTGGTACACAAATCGATCTTCTAAACAGCCAATAGTTGAAGTAACTTTCAGTTCTTGAGTCAGGGAAGTACATAGATAAATTTTCCTCATGTGTTTATGTAAGAATTACACAGTAAAGATTAAGCAGCTGTACAGAACCACATCCCACATTCACAAAAACGTTATTTTAATGAGCTATTCTGTGTTACCATACTAGTATTTTCAGCATGTTTATGAGAAGCAGGCTGTGCAATAAGGACAACTTTTCAATTTTCAACTCAAGACATACCCCCAAACATACAACAGTATAATAGAATACTATATTCCCAATACATACTCCCACTTTATACCGTAATTTAATTAGAGCTTTAAATCCCTTCAGACAAGTGGAAAAGCACCAAAATATATTTTCAGCACTGAAAAAGGAATGAGAAAGTGAATACTACACAGGAAAACAAGTATCACTGCAGAAAAACAAACCCGAAAAGAAATCAAAGAGGGAAAGAGAAAGAAGAGTCAGAAGAAAAGGTGAAACAAACACAGCAGGAGAAAAGGGATCAAGACAACAAAAACTAGAGTAGACTTGACACATCTAAAATGACCTGTTAGGCAACTTTCCTCTTAAGAGGTAAACAGGTTAGATAAGGGAACCAGGCTTCAGAGGGCAGGCAGAAAGACAAGTATAGCATACTTAAGCAAGCAAGCCTGAAGAAATGTATGATCCCAAGGACAGGGGAGCCAGCATGGGAGCACAGAGCCTGGAACAGCAGAACAGCAACAGAAGTGCCTACATCTGCTCCTTTGGTTACAGCAGTGCAGCCCAGGAAGACCAAGCTACCACCACAGTGTGAAGTCTCCTGAGAGGCTGGAGTTAGCTGCCGAAACAGCCAAAAATGCCAGCTCCCAACACCCCAGCAACTACAGGCTTAGATATGAGAGTTAGGGCTTTGACTACATGCCAAGTAGATAAATCTATGTTAATATGGACCAATACACTTTGGAAAAAGAAAAAAAAAAAATCAGAGCCACTTCTGATACACTTTCACCTGGAAATTATTTCTATGCAGTTACAGTCTTCTGGAATGAGCTTATAATGAGGACACATGGTGCTCTCACAAAAAGAAACAACAAAAATCCAAAACCAACACTAAACAAACAAAAAATGACTAAAGAAAACCCCCAATCATCATTTCAAAATCAAGTTCCAGGCAGAAAATAGAGCTCTGCTCACTCTGGAATCAGGAATTCTTAAGGAAAAAAAATAAACTGTTCTTTCACACTGACCACCATCCCCCTTACCAATGCGATCAACAACAAGGTATAATTTTGTACAACACAAATACACATAAGAACAAATAATGAACTAGAGTACAGGAACTTTTTTGCTTACAGTTGCTCAATTTGGTCAAACTCTTTTTCACCTCCTGCAGAAAAAAAGAAGTACTATATAGCAGTATCCATTTAATAAACAATAGAAAATTTCTTGTTTAGTACATTTAGTAATTGCTTAATCAGAACAAAACGTTATTTTATTTTGTTAGTTTTCTTAAATATGTATTTCAAATTACCTTGTTTATCTGTTCAAGGGAGTTACCTCCAAAGTGGTGAAAAATCTTATTTTCATAAGGTTTTATTAGTCTGATTTTAATACAAATCATCTTTTATATTTACAGGTTTACAAGTGTCTGTATTTCAAAATATACATAACATGCATTTATGTATCTATTAGACACACACATTTCTCCTTCTTACTAAATGTTTTAAAGAAACTTCTCCTATCAAGGCTACTAAGAATTGCTTCCATTCCTAATCACTCCCCCAAAAATTATAGCCTCAAAATTGTCTGTATTGTAAGGGAAAAAAAAATCCCAAGACTCTATCAAAACTGTTATAAGTATTGCTTAGTGAAAGCTCTTTTCATTGCAGTGTTTTAGATTAAAGAATTTTCAGAAATACAGATGTGAAAATGGCTCAAACTTAATATATGCTGCACTATAGGTCTTACTTTTCTACCTTTGGCTCTAATTTCAACAGAAAGCTAGAAATTAATTTTAAACACCCAAACTGACCAACCAAAAAACCCCCCACCAAAGCTTACCTTTTGCCTTCCTTTTCGAATACATCTCATAGAGGGCAATAGTAGTTACAAGAATAGCGACTTCAGCCACAACTGCTATAAAGGGTTTGAGAGGTTCTGCAATGGACAGAACTCTAACTTCAAACCTTGCTTTACTGCCCGCTAATTCAAAAGCGGCTTCACACCAATATTCACCACTATCTTCCATGGTGAGCTTGTGTATCTCCAAACGGTTTACACTGGCAGATTGTCTATTAATTTCAAACTTGTCCATAGGCAAAATCTTATCAATGGGAACCTAAAAAAATACATTGCAAATCTTAATAATGTAATGAGGATGTGTTTAATCCAACAGTATCATCAACTTTCAGTTCTGTATAGATACGTACAGCGAGTTACGAACAAAAGGTATTCATGAAGCACGATTACCCCACATTAAAGAGAAGGGTATATTTTAGCTGGACATCCTAATTCTTTCTAAACTCAATGGAAGAAAATACAAAGTTTCAGTGGGCAAACTGTCTGACCTGTTTTAGCTTATTTAAGAAGAGATAAAAGGCACCTTGGGCTCTATTGACTCTCCAATGACAAAGGCATCCTTGGCTGCCAGATCTAATGCATGGGTTTCACCACAGCACAAAACATGCACTTTCAAGGAAGTGGGAGGTCTCCTTCACCTGGAAATATACTGGTAACTCTTAAAAAGGCCAGTGCTAGTCTCCAGCCATATAAAGGAGACAGATCTCTTTACCTTCTCTCAGTTGACAGTGTTGGCCTCAGAAAAGGGCTGAAAGATAGGAAGCTGTGCTTTCTAGATAGGTCACAAGGCTATGACCTACAAGAATTACTTGTACCTGGAGTAAGTAAAGGGTCCTACAACATTTTACACTTGAAAGCATGTCCCATTGTAAGATTATTTTTGTATACAATATCAAGATTTGAGTAGTATAACCAGAATAAATACAGTAAAAACAAGTCTCTCAAGACTCACCTTACTTGGGAGTATGGCAGGATCTTTTTGAAAAAAACATATAAACCAGATCAAAAAACTACATCCCTGTAACAATACATACTTGTAAATATTACAGATTTTTTTTCCATTTCCATAAAGATGTCTGCTAAAGGTAATGGAAATAGAATTTGTAGAGCTTGCAGTGAAGTATGAAGTATCTGTACTTTTTTTTCTGTCACACTGTTTTGCCTGCCCAACAGAGGGAGATCTTACCAGCTCAGTTCCATTGGTCATGTACCACATCCAAGCCTTGGGATCATACTCAGTTTTACAAACCATTACAGCTGTATCACCTATATAAGCAATTATGGGTTTTTCTCTTCCTTCAATGGCTGGTACTAAGAAAAAGGAGAAAAAAAAATCATCAAGTGAGAGATACAGGTTTTCATTAGTGTTACAAAGAATGTATTTAGGTACTCATTTATAGCACTCCATTTACTTTTTCTACTTAAAGCTCTCATGATTCTATCATTTGTGACATGAGAAGTTGTTTTGGGCAGCTATTTCAGATATACCATCTGTGCAGAAGACAAGTGGAATCCTGTTTTCAGTTGCTATGTGATCTTGAAAGTTGCCAATTAATACCAAACGTCAAGTGAAAAAATTTAAAAAAAAATCAGACTGATTTCTACTCTTGCCCATTTCCTCTTTTCCTTCCTTGGCAGCTGCAAGCTACATGCTTCAGTTCTAGTACACTAGAAACAAACATATAATTTTCCTGCAATTTCACTCTATCTGCAGAAACTGCTAGAAGTCTATTTCAGTCACAATGTGACTACATAATGGTATCTGACAAGTTGTACACAGAGAATGTTTCTGTAACTAAGAAAAAACTGCAGATTGATAGAGATTTGTAGTTAAACATTTTCTTTTTGAGGCCAACACCCCATGTGTGGAGACACGAGGCTTGACTGCATTTTCTCAGAAGGTTGATTTATTATCTTACATATCATATTAAAATATTACATAAAAACTATACTAAAAGAACAGAGAGAAAAGAAAATCAGAAGGCTGCAAAGAACAGGAATAGAATAGAAAGTATAACAAAATCCTGTGACTGCTCACAGCCTTGACACAGGTGGCTGTGACTGGTCATCAATTGAAAACAATCCACATGAACCAATAGAAAATGCACCTGTTGCATTCCACAGCAGCAGATAGTTATTGTTTACATTTCTTTCCTGAGGCCCTCAGCTCTCGGGACGAAAAAATCCTAGGAAAGGATTTTTAATAAAATATCATTGCTACATTTTCTGAGCTGAAGCAATGACTTTTGGGTGCACGCCAATAAAAAGGACTTTTAGTCCAGTCTTGCTGAGGACAGAATACAGTCAACAAGAAATAAGACAGTGTAACTTTAGAGTTACTTGTCCTAGCAATTGTCTCTGCTTGTGCCCCACAAACTTCCAAAAGCATGTGCCCAGAAAGGCTATTGAATATATTGAGACTGTCCTACAAATACTGTTAGAGCTTAGCAAATGCATTGTGCTGAAGTATGTATTTCTTGCTTCCTTTCCCTGTTTATTAGGATGTTTACCAATGTCTTCCTCAGATCCACTCATTTGAAATTTTACTTCAAGTTTCTTTTGCTCTGCTTTTTAAGTACAGATCCAGTACATACTACAGATATTGATCACACTAGACTAAACAGGCCAAGTATTTGCTTTCAGCAGTCACGACGAACAATTGATACAAGCTAAGATTCTTCTTGTCCTCACCCGTTCTTGACTGGTGAGCACGAATTATTTTTTCCCCAAAGAAGTCTGCTTCTCATGTATTCAAACTTATGTTTCCAATACAGAAATACCTATGAAACCAATTTGTTTTCAGTATCAGAATTTGCCACACCATACATCAAGACTCTTTACTAGTGAACTTCTCTCAATGTGTGTATTTTAATCATTAAGTGCTAAAATTTTAAAGACTACTGGCAGTGTATTTTCTCTGCTGCCATTAAAGAGGATGACCTCACTAATTACTGCTGCAATCTCCCTTGCAGTTTAGAGTAGAAGAGACACAAGCAGGTTAGGATAAAAAAACCCTGTATACCCAGCACAACAAGCTTATGTGGCAGTCAAAGAGATTCAGCCACACTGGTGAGTAACAAAGGTCAGCTATAAGCATGCCAGCAATATATGTGACCACATTAGCCATGATTAAGGATATGAATATCCATTTCAAGTTCTGGGATCCGGCTCTGTAACACTTAATCCCTGAATACATGCAAGGCTTGACAGGTATTTTTGCAAGTGAATCACACCAAATTTGGTGACAAAATTCTGCTGCACACAGAAAGCCAAATTTTGAAGAAACAAACATACAGGTGTCAGCACCAGCATGTAGACTGCATATCAGTCAGATTTCTACACAGTGTTAAAAATCAGAGCTATTTCATGGTGCCCATACCACAACCGCTGCTTAAGGATCCCAAACAAGGGGCAAAGAAATTAATCTATACTACCCTTTTAGAAGCTAGCAGCACTTCACAATATTTTATAACACCCATTAATGTCCTCTGTGCGTATTAACTTGAACTTCCTGTAAATATCTCATTGTTTTCTGCAAACCTGCATAAAAACATAACTCCTCAAAATCTGAGGGGTTATGCCAGGCCAGGAATCAGGGGGGAAGAAGAGGAGAGGTAACACATGCAATAATCCCAAACTGCCTTGTGGAAAAGATACTGCAGTTAGTTACAGCAGTGATGACTTAAGCCAGTGAGTCTATACATTACACATTACTCATCCTTCAGTTTGAAAATTGTTCTCCCTGCATTACTGACTGGAAGATTCAAGAACTTCTCTTTCCCATTTTCTTCACTCTTGCCTTAAACTTAAAAAGCATCAAAGCCAGTACTTTTTATGGCATCAGAAGTGGCAGCATTCAACTATCAGGCAGCAATTCTCTGATCTTCTTATAATAAATCAACCAGTCCTATGCACTGTTCTGGAAAAGATGACTTTCCTATTGAGTCATTGCTGCCCTTACTGTAATAGTTATGGCATACTTACAAAAAAAAATTCTGTAAAAAATTCTCCTTGGACATTTTTCCATCTACACCAACTTGGACAGCTATTTGACTAAACCTTATGCACGTGCTGACAAGAAAAATACATAATTATTTTTTTGAGATTAAAAGGCCTGAATAAACTACAGCTTTGTCTTTATTCAACACTGCAATCTAGTCTCTCCTGGCTGAAGGTCTGAAAGCCGGTATCAGTGGTTGATATTTGAACCCATTTGAGTTTCCTCAAGTGCTATTACTGGATATCCCACTGAAAAAAGGCAGCTTCCAGCTTAAGAATTAGGGTGCCCCACTGCTTAACTTAGCTAAGTTTAGGTAATGATTTGAATAGTTAGGTTTTCTCAGAGCCTGTATATAGGGAAAATGGCTCCATATCTGCCTTTAAGATGCTTGCCTTGCTCTTTGCAAAATTTGGACAGTAGGAATAGAGAAAGAAGTAACTCCCACTAGAGATATTCATCAGCTCAGCAGCTTGTATTATCATTTCCACATATCTTCCATGCATGTGAATTTCACCTACTACTTCCAGGGTAACATTATTGGAGAAGAGAACAAAACAGAAGAAAGGCCACTCATACTGCTCAATGAAGTACACTAATTGCTCATCTAAGTACTATTCTTATAGTGTTACAGATATAAGAATCACTAAAGCAAAAATGTAGTGTTTCAGAAATACAAAAAATTTTAAAAATCCTGCCTCCATTTTGCCAATCTCTACTTCACTTTTAACATCTAACCTCAGACTCAAATTGCAAATTATTGGCTCTGCTTTTTGAGGAAATTTATCTGAGACACCATCCTTTAATCTCATTCCCCAGAAAGTGAACTGTATTTATATCTGGAGAGGGAAGGGGAAATGAGTTAGTCAACAAGGGTAAAAACCAGACTTGTATGCTGTTTTGGTTATTAGAATTTTTTTAAAGGCTTTTTGTCTTTTAAAATTCTACAATCCATGCTACAGAAATTACTGCTATAATTATTCTCACTTAGCCTGACTGTATTAGCCATTACTTATCAAATTACATTGCAATTTCCATACTCTCCAGAAAGAATATTAATACAGCTTTGCAGTGGTCAGCTGAAACAAAAATTTTAAATAAATACAAATCAATTAAATTACCATGCAAGTGAAACGTAGCACTGACTTCTTTTTCAGCCTTCAGAATACAAATGTAACTTCCCAGCTCGCTGCTCCCTGAGATGGTCAGTCTTAAAAGAAAAAAAAAAATCACAGATGTGGGGGTTTTTTCCTATTTTGTTTTTGTACCACTACAAGTGACTGCTAATTAACATTCTAAAGAAAACAGTAAGAATTAGTAATGGAGCAGAGAAGATACCACCACTGAAACACTACAATTCAGGTTTAGTGCAATGGAGAAATGGCATAATGTTTTTAAGAAATCAGAAGAGCACAAGCACACTTTGGATCATAAACAACATTTTTACCCTGCATGCTGACAGGACACCTTTAAGCAGCATTATCTACAGATTACTGAGTTAGACATGGGTTCACCATGTGAAATAAGAAGCATATCCTATGTAGGGTTTTAGGAAGAACAAATGACTTAAGTAATCTTTTCAACACTAAATTAAATAAATAAATAGTTTTAAAGAGCTTTCATCTAATGAAGTCCAGCATCTTCTCCACTGGCACACTGTACATTTTACTGTCACTTTGAAAAAGATTTAAGTGTCTGTGTATATGGATTATCAAGAAAGTGACAGTTATAGTCTTATCATATTTTCTACAATAGAAATTTTATCTAAGTAGTGCTGCTCTTAAAGCTATACAGAAATGAAATGGAGACCAATCAGTGTAATTGGCCTAATTCTAAAGAACAACAAAAATTGTATTGATTACAGAAAGGTTTTTACAACACTTTTTGAGTTTCTGCAGAGGTCTGAATGACTTAAGAAAACTTTCAAAATATCTTTACTGAAAATCTCACTTATACTGTTTATTACCTATGAAGGAAAGAAAATGACCATTGATGCCTTCCAGACTCTTGCAAAGCAGCAATGAGGTGGAAAGGAGGATGTGGAAAATGAGGGAGTGAAAAGAGAAATTGCTAAAATATTCTAATCTCAGACTGATTACTATTTCACTTACTGAACAGACTTTAAGGAACTGTTTTGTTATTCTATATTCTTTTTTTTTAAAAAAACCCCTTGTTTTATGTGCACTAAAGAAAAACACGAGCTCATCCTCTTAGGCTTGAGGTACCTGCAGTCTTTCTCCTTTCTGACAGCTTCAGTATGTTAATCTCTGCATTTCTCCCTTTTCCAGTATACACATTACTAGTATAGGGAACTGTATATAACATTGTAACTCATCAGAATCTGCAAATCACAATGTAAAGAATGTTACTTACTGGATGGTCCAGCTGTTCTGAGTTTTACTGGTGTGACTGATTGTTTCACTTCCTCTTTTCCAAGTCACTTGAGGATTTTTCAAATTTGACTTCTCATCTAATCTGCATGTAAGTTCAACTTTAGCTGGATTAGCCAAAGAGATATTTTTTTCAGACACACCTATAAGAAGTTTAAAAACATTTAATGAAAAAACCTGTTTTCTTATTCTGAGTGAAGGAACTTCAGAGACTGCATTTACATATACAGGATTACAAGTGGACTCAGGTGCTCTTTATACTCTCCAGGCCAAAAAAGCCCCTGCAAAATCAGAGTTTCACAGCAATTTTCTTAAGTAATAACTGAGTTAAAATACATATCCCCTTTATAAAAATAACACGCTCCCAATTTGTAGATAAATTTCCTAGAGGGCTCTAATATAGAAGCATAAATACTCATATCACTGAGAGCAAAACAGACTTAGGAGACAGACTTAAGTTTTTACGTGATTTAATCCAAACCAAAAATATTAAGTACTTAATATGTACATAGAAAATTTTATTAATGTCAAGAAAAGTTAAGACATAAGTATCTGTAACTATTCGGATCTTAGCCAATTGCAGATTTTTAGGATACTGTGAGATCACAGGCATATCCTATTGCTAGGTAAGCTGTTGATAAAATCTGCAACCTTAACATAGCTGTATCAGGCCTTTCATACCTACAGTTACCCAAACTGACACCAAATCCTCTTCAAACCCATTTAGGGCCACCTTTGCCTTCCTGGCAAGTCAGTAGAATCACAGTGGGAAAATATTACAGTATAGTAGAAAAACCTGTCAGTTTTTTGCTTTTTATGAGTATAGGTTCATGAGCATAAAATAAGAACATCCAAAAAGTGGATATCAACAGCAAATATCTATTCTGATCCATAGAAACAGCCTTCTATTAGAAAACACTTTGGATGTTTTACCCATTAGTACTGACATTTTGTTTCATAACTGGCCTTTTCATTCATGCCTTCTGGATAGCAGTGTGGTTAGTCATCTAAATACTCTAAGAAAATTTATGCATGCCTCAATTCAATTCTAGATGCACCCTGTAGTATTTGGTGGTCAAAAAACTATAGGTGTATTGCACAGCTCACATTCCTTCCAAGAGAAAATGAAGCTTTAAGGTACAGCTCAATGACTTCATAATGTAAGTCATACCTATGCAGCAGCAAAGCCTCACTGGACTGATAGCACAAGATCCAGAGTAAGTGAACTTTACTGGGTCTGGCAGAGACATGTACAATCTGAAGAACAGCATATCCAGAACTGTGAGTCCCAGCCACAATAATTCTAATCTGTCAAACTGGAGACAAACTTAGAAGTGCAACACCCCAGTCTTCCACTGCAGAGCAACATTAGTCGCTGAAAATCATTTATTAGGGCAATTAGGCTGAATAAATGAGCCAAGCGTAACTCAGCTTGTTGGGGTAGTTTATGATCAAAGTAATTTTATAACTAGAATTGGTTCCACAGCAGCAGAAGTTTCACAGTCAGACTAATTACAGAAGCTGAAAACAGTACCTGTCCCTTATGAAATGATTTTAAAATGTTAATGAATGAAACAAAAACAGATGATGTTGAAGATTAACCAATAGCAAGACTGATGTCTGGGGCATCCCTGTACTAAGAGTGCAGATACCTGAACAGGAAACAGACAGTACTTTAAGTTTCCTGCTCAAAGAAAATGCAGCATAAATACTGCAAAATTACATCCTGAAAATATCACACCAGTATTTTGTAAATCTTCCAGAGATAGTTCATTTAGATCAGTTTCTTCAGCTATCCAAGGAATTAATTCTAGACTATTGTTTGGCAACTGGGAGTTTCATAGGTACTTTAGGAACAGGTTTATTTTTGCTGTTCTCCACACTTCAACTCCTGCAATGTTGCTAAGCTAACACCTGCTGTTCAGCAAGTACTCTAGTTTATGTGGTCTCTCCAAGTGGATTCACTAGTGCAAAAAAACTATTGTTTCAATTTATTTGGAGGAAGAATTATGAATTAGTTTTTCTTTTAGTTTTAATAAAAATAAAAATAGGAATCTAATTCTCCACTGCGAAATAGTTATTACCAGAACCGAGAAGTTAACAATAACAAAAATGTACTTACCTTTCACTGTGCTCATCTCATGCTCACTGTGAACATCTTACTTTATCAAGAACTTGCCATTCTAGATGCTTCTACAACTCATATGAAAGTTTGTGTGTACTCACATTCAATAGAAAATAACTGGAAGACAAAAAGTAACATACTCACCAGGTAGGACTATCTCATACTCTGTGACATCAGTGCTCTGCTTGCTTCCAGGCTTGAGCTCTTGTGTGGCAGCACCTGGATGTAACAAGGTTTGGGTGAAAACAAAGTTAGGTTGTCCTATATAAATAATATATAAATAATTACAAAATCACACAATATGGTTTGGCAATTATTAGTTACAACAATCTTGAAAGGAGAAAACGGACCTTGCCAAGTGCTGACAAGTGGCAATCCTTTTATAAACCTGTGTTAGCAGCTGTAACCTTAAAGCAGCAGTGTTGTGGGGTTGCTGTTATAACAAATTACACTGTTAGGTAACAGCTTCTAGCTTTATCGTGATGCTGCAATTGCGACGGTCAGTATCTAAAACATCATCGTGGTTTTACAGCTTGACTGAAAACATCACCTATAGCTTACATACAGGACTACATCTATGTTTAAATAGTTCTTTAAAAAGTAATAAGCTTTAGAAAAACTGTAAGAAAAAACTTTAAGAAAAAATTTAAAAACCCGAGCCAACCAACCAACAAAACTCACCCAACAAAAAAAACCCAGAACAACAGAATGCTGCCATTCTCAAAGCTACTACAGTCTAACAACACAGCCAGGAACTCAGAGGTAAACAATCTAATCTAAGCATTGCTTTAATGAATTCAGAGGCAAGAACACCATGTGGTCAACTACAAAATGGTCAAAAACCGTCACTGATTCTCAAAACTTCTGATACAGAGCAGGCAATGCCCTTCCACAAAGAATGGATACTAACATTAACCATCATATGGCTGACCTAAAAATATTCTTCTCCTTTTGTTAGGAAAACTTACATTTACAAGGTGTATGGTCACCAAACTTCCTTTTTGGTGAGGCTGTGGATCACATACCCTTCAGAGAGTATGAGATCTTTTATAAAGTTCTACAAAGCTTGATAAAGCAACTCTAAGCACAGTCTGTTCCCATCACTTGTTCTCATGCGTTTCAAGAACGGAAAAAGAAAGCAAATTAATAAGCTGCAGCTCTTACAGATGTAGCCCAGCTACAGTAATCTTCTTTTAAATAAGGTTATGAAAGGGAAGAGGTAGATTTCACCACTACCCCAAAAGATACACTAAATGTTTACACTATACATGCTTTCACATGCTTGGAAAGTAATTTCATTGTCAAATATTTCATAATGCATTGCAAAAATATACGAACAGTAGTTAGAGACTGATTCTGCCTAGTCACACAGCATTGTAAGAGAATTATTCTGGTTTTCGTAGACAGAAAGGGGCTTGATTATATCTGCTGTTTATGGATTGTAAAGATTCCCAATCACAATTGAGAAGATAGAGGAACTGGGCTACACCTTTAACCTTCCCACTGACAGATGCACTGGGTAACCAAATTGACCACTGTGAAGTAGAAATAGCATCTCGGAAAGCCAACATCTCATCAGAACTACTCCTTTTCTTCCCTTGCATAAAGTACTGAACTCTCAGGTAAAGATCTTAAATGAATGCCTCTGAGCTACAGCTGAGAGGATGTGGCTGTGCTGAAGGAGGCCCCTGCTAGTGGTTTGCATCTAAAGGTATAAGCAGAGGTACACTGCCTTTTACAAGTTGTTGGCCAGTTTCAGAAAACATCCTCTCAAGCTCACAGCATCTCCTGGCTCATTACATCTGCATTTTCATACTTTCCCTCAAGCTTCAATCAGTTTAAGGAAAAATAAACCTGTATATTAAGGTGTTTGGTATGGAAGCACAGAACTTCAGGCTATTTCATTTCCTGTTGTTGACAGTAGATTGTTGTCAATCTTAACTGATAGTACAAAATGGCCTTTTAAGCAGAGAAATCAAAGCTGTCTTTAGCACTAGACAATAGTCCTGTTGGCTCTAGACAAGAACACAACAAGCCTTGGTCTCTGCCCCGTGGAGAAGTAAACTAGTCCAAGTGTTTACCCAGGAAATAATATCAATGGTGAAAAGTTCTGGCAGATCTTAGGCTGCCTGTGTACACAAACACTCAGTCAGCATGCCAGGGTTGTCACAGATCAGCTGAGTTTATGTCAGTCCAGTACACACATCACCTGCTTTTTCACCGAAATCCCTTGCAACGAGACATTCAGAAGGCACCAGTGCTAGTTCATATGGTAGATCCAGCCATAAGAAACTAGACAGCCTTTAAAGTGTCTTGCAACGAACAGAATTTTCACATTTTGACTTTCTTGCTCAATTTACATATCAAAGGAAAATATTCAGATGAGGTCATACTGTATGAAACATTTTCTATATTTCCTGTATGTCCATGTGTGTTTATGTACGTAGAGTTATTCAATCTATTAGCTACTGCACTCCTAGTTCTCACATTGTGCGAAAAGGCTCCAAAGATGAACACCAGATAAATACCATTATCTCATTAAAAACCCCAACCTGTAGGTGAAATAACTTGCCAGAAATTGAGTTCACATAGAAATATAACTTAGCTCATGTTTGACTTGCACTAATCAACATGAGCTTTGGGACAGTGCTGAAATTCTGATTTTCTGATCTTTATGGAAAAAGGAGAAGTAGAACCAACATGCATTGGTTTCCTGTCCTGCCTGGAACTTATTCTCAGCTCCCTGTTAAAAATGCAATTAAGGTATAAGGTACAACAGACCGTTCTGACACAGCCATAATTAAGAAAGATGAAGCTAGCAGAATGTGCTAGCAGAAGCGATGCAAGGGCATTTTTTATACCTTTCACTAACACACAGCCATAAGGAGCTCCCATATTAAAAATTATCATGGCTTAAAGCTAGAACACAATGTCCCTGCAGGGGAACTAGCTGGGCACTGACCAACCTCCAGGGTCACTGCCTGCTTTTAAGGCGTATATGCCTAAGGGCAACAGATCATGAAACTGGCACCTGCATAGCTTTTTCCAGTTCTGGAGATACTTACAACACTCAAGCTCTTGCAGTGGCTTTAAAAGACCTAGGTGCTGTATCTACTTCTGTTTCTTCCAAAAAGTCACTATCTTATTTCAAGAGACTTAAGTGTGAAAATGTTGACTCTATACAATAAACGAATTATCAATAAGAAAAAGGACTATATAGTTTTAAGTGTACTGAACTAAAAGATTTACCAGATGATTCATGTCCAGCTTGCATCTTCGTCACAGAATTCACCCAAGTCTGATTGGAATCTTGCGTTGTCATAGCTGAATCTAAAAGAAACCAAACAAAACACCAGAGAAAGTTTAAATAAACTTTGAGTTAGAAAAAGCTACTTCATGAAAATAATCCCAGCAGAATGTCCTCACCTCAGCCTTTCTCCCCAAGTTCTGAGCATACACACTAAAAAATGCACAATAATTGGTTTTTGTTAGTTGTTTAGCTCACTTTAGGCAAGAGAAGATTAAAGAATTGAGGCAATATTTATTTGATCTCTAATTTCTGTGTAGTGTTATTTTCTTGCAGTTAGCTTACAGGCAGGCAAAGCCACTCCTCAGAATGTTCCAGCAACTTTTTAAACTGTACTCACATCCTTTTTGTCCACTGGCTTAAAACACCACTTATGCCACTGACATCGGTCAATTACTTTTAATACAGATTAGCAGATTTTCCAATAGAGTACAAACTTCATTACAACTTTACAAATCTAGCGTGATGAACAAGCAATGAACATACCGCCTTTGGCTCCACTAGCACCACAGTAAACAAGAGAAAATACATCTGCATCAAACAGTAACTTCAGCATCTAATACTAACAATTATTTCCAATTTTCCTCAGTACCACTGCAAATCTGATCCTCCTCCTATGATACAGTTTTTACAAGAACCATTTAAGACTCTAGTCTGATTTGTGTTCTTGACTGGAAAAAAAACCAACAATGGACTAGGCAAAGGACCTGGTTAGTAGCTGTGTCATTCTTTTAAGAAAATCAAGATATCTAGATGTTTTAGAAGAATGGAAGCATGTCCTCGTTCCTTTATTTCCACCTTTGAGTGACAGAGCTTGTGTTTATTTTGTACTACCTATCTGCACAATACAAAGGTATTCCAAGACATATTCTAGTGCCATAGCACTCAGAGGAAGTGATTCAGCCACACAAGGAAATGACATGTATTTTGCATTTGTAATTAAAGTGTTGGCAGGGAGGTGGAATTGGGACCATGAACTCTTCTGTACATCCAAGAAAGCAACAAACATGCACAGATCACAAGAATCACAGAATAACCTGAATTGGAAGGGACCCATATGGATCCAGTTGAACTCTTAAGAGAACAATGAAAAGCTCCATCACATTTTAGGTGCATTCAGACTTGAGAATCACATGCCTTCTGCAGAAGGTGAAGTCAGCACTGTGCCATTTCCTACAACTAACACTTTTACCCTGTTTCAGCACCAATAGGCATAGACAACGTATAGATTCTCCACTGGCACCTCCAGCACACAGTTATTCCATCACAGCCATGCCTGGCTTACACCACCTACTCTCAATCTGCCCATCATACTTCAACCAGTTTGGACCAAGAGTAAAACACAGTAGTCAGAAGATACTAAAAGAATTAAGAATAGTGGTTCTTAAGAGCAGCCCATTCTTTTATCAGTCCACTGGTACCATAGCTACCTGTTCCCTCCCAGCCCTTCAGTTTAAAAAAGAACTTAAAAGATCTGCTCTGAGAATGTGCTGGCTTATGAACCAAACAGTAAAAAGACTGAGTCTTATTCTCTGCCTCACAGAAGTACTGAGCAGGGAGAGCTATTATTTTTCTGATATTCATAGCACAACTGAAGAAAGATGTCCATGAATTTTTGTATCTGCAGCATCTTGAGGCATTCTAAGTATGTCATGGATCACCTGCACATTAATTAAAATCCCCAAAGACGATAAATTTAGAAGGTGCCAGTGCAAAGCTGCACAGCAGCTCTGTTATCTCGCTGCAATGAAGGCAGATAACCTGCAATGTGGTTTGCATACTAACAGGGTTCTCATCTTGGCTTTCTTCTTTAATTCATGTATCAAGTGAAAGAAGTCAAGCAGTCTTACTTTTGTCACTCCTGCTTATATATCTTTCACCTTACCTGTCCACATGTCAAACTACACAAAACAGAGATAACATTGCACCACTCTGTTCCTCTCATATGTACTTGCTGAATAGCACTGGAGATCAAGATGGGCCAGCACTGCACCATCAGTGTCATCCAGCCAGGCAATGATGTAAGGAAGTCGCATGGAGTAACTTCTTGAACAACTGAGTCACGGCTGCATGCCTTAGCCTAGAGTAGGTCTGCACTACATTTAATCAATAGCATGGGCACTTGTACAGGTCTCAGTTCCTTGATTTTCATGCAGAAAAGGAATAGGCAAGAATATGATATAAAGCATTTAGTTTTCTACATTACTTCTGCTTCACATGGCAGTCAGTATTTTGGGGCAAGGAACTATGGATATACCATGCTGACTATTACCAGGGTAATTTCAGGCTTCATCTACTCACTCTCTTTCAGCCAGAAAAGCAGCTGAGTAAGAAATGGCTGAAATACAATTTGGTTTAGTTTAACATCTTTATTTTACTGTTTAACTTAATATAAATTACATACTTTTTAAGTTCACATGCATTCAAGTAGCATCCAAAACCAGGCACAGAACCTCCTCATGTCCCAGAGACATCAGAGAATCAACATGAAGGACTCCCAAATACCCTGATAAAAGCTGCTCCCTCAGGTCAAACCAGAAAAACCCAACTTGAAAGCAGTCTGTAAGGAATGAGGTGTGTTCTATACTCATAGCTCCTTGAATTCTTCAGGAGCAGAAAGTGAGAGATCAGATGTAATGGGACTGTTTGTCCTAAATCAATGTGGCAGTACTTGCTGCAACTAAATTCAGACAACCACAAAGGTAACCTAAACAAAGCAGCAAACTCCAAACAACAGTGTTCTGACACTTGGTTAGAAGTTACCCTTAACTCATTGCAAAATAAAAGCAACAGTTTAGATTTTTCCAAAACAACTAACTGAACAGTTACATGACTAAGATAAGAACAACAAAGATCTTCTTTGAGATATTATCTCAAAATAAAAATCTAATAGGGCTTTTGTGGCATCTGCCTGACCAGCCTGCAGATCATGCAATTCACCTTTCTGCAATTCAGTTCCTGTGTGCAAGTGCTCCCTCTGCTTACTTTTACTGCAAGCATTTCTTTTGGATGAAGCACCCTCACATCTCCAAAACAAACACAGTTTCTGGACTCCACTGGAAAACATTTTGAAGTTTTTCTCCCTTCAGGTGACATGAACTTCCTTTTGCTGCAGCTGTGTAGAGCGTTCCTGTGCTCAACCAGCTTCACACACAGTTAATAATCCACGAAAGCTGTAAACCACCATTTTTTCATTTAAATCATCACAAAGTCACAGTATGATGCCTCCCTATCTAGTTCACACAGCTGCAAAAAACATTTAATAGAAGTCTGGAAAACAACACCTTTACTCTATACAGATGAAAAGTACTAAAGCTAGTGGCTTATTTCTGACATCCGCTGTAAACCACAATACCCTTCCACTTTAAGAAGATGGTAGACTTGCACAGTTTTTGGAAACACAAAGAAGGTTTTGCTGTTTGATTCGTTCTTCCTGTGAGAGGCTATCATTTCACCAATGGCTTTATATAAACTTAAAACTGCTTCGGCCACCATCAGGTATGGGTTTTGCCATTAACAGCTATCAAAAATTACTATCTTATGGCAATTAGCCACATGCTGACTCACACATTCCTACAAACATCAGGCTATTTGCACTCAAAAAACTCCTCAATTAAGTAAACTGCTAGAAAGGATTTCAAGTTCTGTGTGTACATAAATACACAAGTATTTTAAAGAAGACTTAAGAACTACAAAATAGATTTTTGTCTGCGTACACACTTAAATATGCATTTCAAACAAGACTTGAGAAGCGCAAAGTATGTTTCCTTTCACATTATGTGAAACTACTAGAAGCTTTACAGAAGGTACCATCACCTAGGGAGCACTACTGGTCTTCTCAGTACTAGGAAGTGCACCAGAGGGCAGAAGAAAACATAACTGCTTGTATTTCACACACTGAAAATGCAGCTAAACCACAATGAATTCAAGTCACAGTATTGATGTCCACCTACAAGTAGGTATATGCTCACATAGACGGGACAAAACTCTTGGCCCTGCCAAGACCAAGAATCTCACCCTGCACAACAAACACCAGTAATCTGGTAATTCCTGCTATAACCATTTTCTACTAATCTGCAATGCCTAAAAAAAAAGCAAAAAAACCCAGAACCCCACTAGTTTTAGAAATAAGATCAAATTTCCTGAGAAAGAACTGGCCTGCTCCTGAACTGCTGAAAGCCTCTAGAGGAGGAACAGGGCCCAGAAAGCTCACATCACTCTTTCTTAATGGATTTTAAATGCTACATTTAAAAACGCAAACACAAATCCCAAGGAGCACCCCTCATAATTCATTAGGCACATTGATACCTTAATAATGTAATCTATCGATCTGGACGGGGAGCGGGTGGGCTGGTTGTTTTGTGGGTTTTTCTCATTTAAATGTTTTAGACAGTAAGAACAGGACAGAAACAAGACACAACACCACACCTTCCCAATCCTGCACTTCTGAGGTAACAAACCCTTCGTTACTAAGGGAGAAGGTGCAGAGGCTACGGGACGGCTGATCGCCGACGTGGCTCTGCCTATCTGCGGCCGTCCACCACGTCGCTGCTGGGGGAGAGCGAGAGCGGATCCCCGCTGTGCCACGAGAACCTCGATCTCCTGAGGGAGACAGAGGCGCCAGGAAGGGTAGGGGCCGCTAAGAGAAAACGCCTCAGCTGCTCCCACAGGCAAGGTCGAAAGGCAGCCACCGTGCCGGGGCAGCGCTACGTCCCCCGAGAGCCGGGGGGAAGCTGCAGAGCAAGGAGGACCTTTGCTCCCAGGCAGGGCTCTGGTCCACCTCGCTCCGGCCCTCCCGGCACGGACAGCGGAGGGAGCCCGGCCCGGGGAGAGTTTCCATTTACCTGCAAGGCTCCCGCCTGAGAGGCTGGTACAGAGCAGCAGCAGCAGCAGCAGGCGCACCAGGCAGCGGCCGGAGGTGGCGGGCATGGTGCCCCCACCGCGCTCACTCCGCCGTGCTCCCCTGGCTCGGCCCGGATCCGCACCCCGCGGACTACACCACCTGAGGAAGCCTCAAGCGGGTTAGAGCGGCTTTACGGGCGAGCTGGCTACTCCAGCAACGATGGAGGTCACATGCAAAGCACAGCTACTCCACATTCACTGGGACGAAAAAAAAAAAAACCCAAAAAAAAAAAAAAACCACCGGGAAGGCGCTGGCGCCGCAGCCGCTCCCCTGTGCGCGAGGATGTGGTCAGCAGCGGGCCCGCCGGGCTTTAAGTGGCGGAGGAAGGGCGGGGGCGCGCACCGGTGGGTAATTGGACCGAGGCCCTGACGCCCGGGCCGCCCAGGAGACCCCCGGGGCGGTGGGAGGCTGGCGGGACAGGTGAGGCACAGGGTCGGGACTTGTTTTTGGCCCAGAGGGGCGGTGGCTGCGGGACCACCTGGGCAGGAGCGACGGGCGGTGGCAAACGGGTCCGGCAGGGCTTGCCCGGGGAAGATGGCCTCGGGCAGAGCCTGCCTGGCCCTGCCCTTCGGCTGGTTATCTTCTGGAGAGCCCAGCTTCGAGGGTCACTGCCTCCAGGACAGCTGGGTTATACTGTATGGGAGCTGCGACTCTTTTGCATCCCTAAGTCTCCCGCTGCTTGTACAGCAGTGACTAGGGAGCACAATTTCTAGCAAAAGCTCCTCAAGTTTTTGATTATGGCTGAGTGAAATTGTTTACACTTTCTTTCTGTATACGTGTGTGCTTACCTAGTAAGCCCACTCATATGTGTGTATATATATTTATATATGTACATTATATGCATTTCTGTTTCTTGCTTTGTAAATAACTGAATTCTGAATAGTGCGAAATGAACTCCAGCAAGGTGGCATTCTCTGAAACAACTTCCTTCCTTCCTGTCAGCTTCAGCTAATGCAGTGGTTGAGTTGTGTAAGAGGTTTGTATCAATACAAAAAGGTCACTGCAAAAAAGCCTTTCCATCATCTTAACTCACCATGGTGGTATAGCTGTAAGAGTTTATGTAAATTCTCTGTGTGTTGGTTTTCCAGCACTAGGCATGTTCATGCTTCCATCCATATTTTCCAATATTAGTACGGTGGCCTTCAGAATAAAATTTTCTTTCATAGAAACCGCAAGTAAATGCTACTAATTACAAAAGACTGGGAATAGGACTGTTTCATTAGGCTCTTTGCTGTGAGGAGAACTCACAATGCGATGTGCTATGAGGAAAGACTGAAACCTCCTCCCCCTGCCCCATGCTTATTAATCTGCCAGCCTGCTAAAATGCACAGAATTATGGGATTCAGAGAGAGAATCCAGTTCAGATAAAGCTGTTTAGGAATGGTAGATGATCTTCAGCTTTTAATAGGAAAAAAACTGGCTGGCACTCAAAAGCTGTTTTATCTCAACCAGTTAGGACTGAAGAGACGTATCTCTTTGTACTGGGGGAGGCAGAGGGAAAGGAGAGGAGAGAGAAGGGGAGGAAAAGAGAGGGAGAGGCAGAGGAGAGAGGAGAGTCAACTGCCTAAAGATATGAAAAGACTGGTTTATAGTTCTAGTTAACTCTCTCTGGAATAGGTGAAGGGAAGACTTTGTATTCACTTTATTTAGCAGTTGGGTATGCAGCACCTTTTGTTGAGACAGATTTTATCCACCTGGAATCAACATGGATTGGTTGGTAGAAATGTAGGACTAAACACTGGGGGCTGGAACAAATGGATCTGCTAGGGCAGTCCTATCTAGAACCTAGCTGTAGCTTTGTCAGCTCTTGCTAAATGGAAACTGTAGAGGTTCAGATGGAGACAATTCTTTTTGAATGACTACGTGTTCAGTCCTTTATAGGACTGGACTATCTTTTCCACCAAGTTAACTTTGGTGAGCATCAGAAGACATGATGAACATCTTTGCAGGGTTTCATCTTAGCTCATCTGCTAATGGTACATCCCACGCTTACCTAAAGCTGAATTGAAAGAAAGCAGTTATTAAACTGCTGCTGAGGGAGCTGGTTTTTCCTATACTCATGGTATGAGATACAGAAGCCACAAATGAAAATATGAGAATGGAACAGTAAAGAGAAAAGCAAAGGCAAGAGGAAGGATGGCAGAAGGAAGGCAAAAAAGGAGCAGAATTTAGAGGAACTGGTCAAGCAAACCAAACAGCCCTCTGAGGGTTTCTATGCTCCAGTGTTTGCCTTAGCATTATAATATGATTAGATTAGATTACTGGATTAGATTATTTACTAGGAACTCCAGCTGTATTTGGTTAGATCGTTGAAAGAGTGAGAGGTTTCAGAAATTATAAGGTTAGTGATAACAATGGTAAAGTAGAATATTTGGGAAATCAACTATTAGCTTGCATTTGGAAACATTTTCTGGCCAGTAAATTTCAGGAAAAGTATTTAAATTTTACGTACCAAGTCAAATCTACTGCATTTATTAATCTGCAGCATATTTTCCTCTTCTCTCACTTCCACAGAGAAACTTTGACTTATTCTCACATGGTAGTTACTTGGCAAATGTGACAATTATTTTGGAACGAGAATTCATATGTTGCCCCATACTCTGGCTTATAAAATACCTTATATTTATTAAAACCTCTGATACAGGGAAATTGCTGGTTTATTCAGCTGATTCAGGAAGATCTTTGTTGAAAATTTTCATGGCAAAAGGAAAGTAAATGAAACTCTGAATACTGATATATGTTAATTATTGTAATTTGTACTTTTACATCTCATTTTCAGTAACAACCAAATCCTGTGTTCTCAAAGCCTACTCTTTGGCATTCATTTATTTCTGTTAAAAACTGAAACAGTAAAATAACCAAAGGGCATGTGTGATCCAGCAGTTTTCTTGGCTGGAGGTTTGCTTTTCATAAAAACCACTCAAATTGTGCAAAGGTAACTGATGCGTGTGTCAGAAGAACTGTGAAGAAAAGAAGGAAACAAACAAAATGGACTTAAAACCACTAAAGGTGGAAGTTGACTTCAGGGATGGTGCCTAGCAGCTTTCAGTATCTGAAGCTGAATCATCAAGACCTTATTAAACTTTAGCTAGATTTTTTTTTTAATAGGCATGACATTTTTAATTGTAAAAGCATGAAAATAAATAGTAGTAAATAGGAGAAGCAATTTAGAATTACTTTAGAAATAAGTCTTGCAAGTCCAGGAAATAATTTTGCATGGCGAAATTATGGAGATAATGTGTTACTAAACTGTGGGTCACTTTCAAAAGGATGTGCTGAAATAAGTGTTATGCAACACAAACATTGGGGAATTAGTTCTCCATTCTATGGTAACAGTCAGATTATAATAAAATTTTTAGAAAACAGTGCAAAATGTGCGTGTTTCTAAGAGCCAAAGTAATATACTGAGAGCTAGTACAAAACTACAAAGCAGAATTTTATTGTCTCCTTCAAACATTTATCTTTTGCTTGCTCTCTTTTAAGGATTTAACTAAACAGAAGTCTTGTCTGGATTTAAAATTACAGGCCAGTTTATGCAGTCTGCATACTCTGCAGCTGCCTTCTCTGCACTGTCTGCATCCTGCTGAGTGGCTGTAAATCCAAATATCTCCTGCTACCTCCTTGAAGACAGTTTGCAAGATTAAGCATATAACCTCTATTGAGAATTCTGCCATATATCAAATGTTTAATGTTGTGTTCTAGGGTCAGAGCTATATATGAAACAAAAATTGGTGCTATAGTGCTTTAGGATCATGTTTTTTGAAAATCCTAGGTTGATGCCAGTGCCAATTATTGAGATTGTTGATACTGATTATCAATACTCGGTTGTTACTGTGCAGATTAGGCAGTGAAGGCTTTGTCCACATGGCAAATGTCCACATGGCAAACACACCATCATAAGGAGCTGGCATCCAAAAATTCAAGCCAGATTTTTGGCAAAGAATTCTTTCTGCCTACCAGTCCCCTGCTTTCTGATATCTGAAAAAAAAAAAAAATAAATGAAAATATAATGTAAAAACCAGTACTTTGTTGAAAACACAATTTAAATTGCAGCCGTACGTACAGACAAGAAATGTCTACAATCTGTTAGTTTAATGTAGAATTAAAGTTCACTGTGATACAAATGGATGCCACCTCATCACAGGGTTTGCTTTGCAAGCTGTGCTTCAAAATTTGCAGAAGATATTTTAAGTGACTCAAACGGGATCAAGGGAGGAAGGGAGGCAGTATCCTTCACTACAGTAATATACATGTAAAAAGTAAGGCAGCCTCTAATCTGAATACAATTTGAGAACAATTACTCTAAATCTGAATGCAAATTGAGACAATTACTCTAATTGTAATTATGATGAAGGCACACAGGTGAGTCTCACCTACTGCTTTAATATCAGCATGAAGATCACCTTTGATAAGTCTTTCTTTTTCACAAACTCACCATTTTCTAACCTTTTAGAGTTTTAAAAACAGCCTCTCTCCTGTGGCAACAATAAAAAATCATGAGAATTTTATATTATAAATTAAGATATCCTCCATTCTGCTGCAGTACTTGCTCAATTATCACCAATAAGCAGGAGTACTAAACTGTTTGAAGAACCAGACCTTACTTACATGATTGAATTTGGGCTACTTGGGACTCCTGCTCTGGGGTAATCAATGATTTCTGTTTCTTGTGGGTATGGTGACAGAGTGTAGACTTTTTCTAATCCAAATTATGTGTTCTATGGTTTTCCTGGGCTGTGGGGAGGTTTGTAATTTGTTTGGGGTTTGGTTTTGGTTTTTAAGTTGACAGAAACCCAGTTTCATCAATTTTTTTCTAAACTTTTTTTTTTTAAATTTGGAAATACGTTTGTAATTCTGGAAATAAAACCTGAAGATAAGGCAGCATAAAATAAGTAGCAAGTTAAGTGGCATAAGCCTTCCCTGGTAGAGGGAAGTAATCAAGTTAAATGCCACTCCATTTATTTATGCAAACTTTAGAAAGTTTGCTGAATAAACTCCATTTATTCAGCAAACTTTAGAATGTCTGACAGCATCCTTTTACTTAGAACATTTTTTGCATTTGTTTTTTATGTATTATTTTAGAAGGGGGAAAGAGGGCTTCAGTGAAAAAGAGAGAGGAAAGCTATGTAGATAGAAGTGTTTTTTGTAATTCCAAAACCATGAGAC